GGTTGGACTGGATGACCCTTGGGGGTCCCTTCCAACTCTAGGATCCTAGGATCCAGCTAGAGGGGGCTCTTTCACTAACCCAAAACCTTCCCCACATTGCACAGCTCCATGCCACTCGTTGCCTTTAACATCACCGCCCTTCTCTTGTACATAATTCAATTTTGTTTTCCTTTAAGTACAGACTTAACTTTTCCTGGAAACCCTTTGGTGTTTCTCTTTTTCCTCCTTGCTGTCTCGCTCACTCACTCCACCCATCTCCCTTTCATTATTATGACTGCTAGATACCCTCCCAGTGGAGGGGAGTGTGCTCTGGATGACTATATAAATGGACACAAGAGGTCCATTTCCAGCTCCCTGAACCGAACTGGACTGTCCGAAAGAAGAGGAGGTCAAAGCAAAGCAGAGGACAGAGAGGACTCCTGTCTTTTCAACCAGCAAGAGCATGGCTGAAGGTAAACATGGGCAAAGCAAAGGGACACTTTGCAGGCATGCTTTGGCTAAGAGGGCTTCTTTCTGGCTTTGCTCCAACCATAGTCCTCCTCCTCCTCTCTCTGAATGCCTGGTTGTATGTAACGTGAGCATTGCAATGTGACACTACTTGCAAGATGGGTATGTATGTCTATGGTGCATAATGTGCCTGCCTTGATTCCGCTTTGCACATGAAACCCAAGACTGGGAGAAGCCTCTTCCATCTGTCCGTTGACTCGACTCGCTCCCTCGCTCTATAAATGGCAAAGTTCCTTCTGGAAGGAGCTGGTGAAAGAAAGCGCGCTCTCTGTCTTTCATTCCTTTAGGTCCAAGAAGACATTAATATTTTTTTAACTCTTCCAATTTAGGAGGAAAGGGGGGGGAAAACCTTCTTGCGACAGGGATAAAAATGTTGGAAGGTGTCTTCCGTTCCCAAAGTGTCTGTAATAGATTTTCCTTTAAAAGGGGGAAAATATGACGCCAATAAGGAAACTTTGGAACAAACAATTGGAGCAGTCTGCCAGAAGTCCAAAGGCAGTGGCTAGAGCATACATTGAGTTATATGCGCATTTTGGAATTCCTGCCCAGCCTAGGATTATAGAAACACAGTCCAAAGACAACTTCACTGTGTGTTCTTGATCTTGTTGAGTGCCTCCAAGTCATTTTGGACTTATGGCGACCCTAAGAAGACCCTATCATGGGGTTTTCTTG